TGTCTCCCCGTCCCTGCTGGCCACTGGGTGTCCCAGTGCCGCCCCCTCCCTTGGTAGCACAGGCTGCGTCTCCTCCTCTCCGCGCTGTTTCCATTGCTGCTGTCCGTCCCACCTCAGATGTCCGTCCTCTCTCGGATCTCCGCCGTACTGTGCTTCTGTTTTGTGGATCATCGTTCTTACTATTTTAAAACTAGTCCAGCCCTTCGTGTTGCTCTTGCATGTAACACGTGCTGGTTTTAAGTGATCATTGCATTTTTTTTTTAAATTTTAAAGAATAAAAGAAGGATAACATAGTAATGAGGGGGGGGCTTACCAAATTACAGACAAAGTGGTAAGAAATTATCAGTGGTTGTTGTTTTACATACTGTTATCTACAAGATAGTTTCTCAGGAAAACAAACAGACAAGTAATAGTGAGTTACAGACAAAAGGGGTAGGAGATTATCAATAGTTGTTGTACTATACTTTGGTATCTTCAAAGTGGCTTCTAAAGAAAATAAATAGAGCTATACATGAGTGACCAATTGAATATTCATTGACTATTCTCAGTGGTTGTTGTAGGAAACACATAACAATAAACATACATCCATTTACAAAATAACATAGGAACAATACAAATATTACAGAGTTACGGACAGGTTAGTAGGAAAATATAAATGGCTGCTGTAATACATGGTGGTATCTTCAAAGTGGTTTCTCAGGAAGACAGAGATATGCAAGAAAGATCTAACAAGTAGTTACAGCCTAAGGGTTGTGAAAAATAGCCTATTACCTCCTCCCCAGTGACTCCTTTCACTGAGGTGTGACGGCTGGAAGGAAGGCCAGGATTGAAAAGAAGGACTGAGAGACTTGCACCTGTGTCTAGCAACAGGCTGTTTTCTTTTTCCTCTATAGTCATGATTACCCAGGTCTCCTCCATGGAGATGACAGTCTGGCCAGAGGGAGAAGGCAGAGTATGCCCCAAGCCCCCTCATTCCTGTTGCACTAACTGGTAGGATGGGTCTGAGCTCTGGGGCCTCTACTTCAGAGGGAAGACCGATCTCCAGTGGTCACCTTTGTATTCAGGGCATGGCCCAGGGGGCCTCTGAGAGCAGTTCCTCTTGAGGTGGCCTGGCTTTTAACAATGGTAGCAGATGAATGCAGTTGTTGAGTTCTTCTTGGGGCCCCGAGAATCAGACTTGGGGTCTGTTTCTCTTTGTGCTGCAGCAAAAGCAGCTGCTTTTTCTCTGTCTCTCTGTTTTCTCTCCTTGGCCTCCTCCTCATCACAGCTATAGAATACTGAGGAGGCAATTCTTACTAACATTTCAAGTGAGCCATTTGGGGCAAAAGGCATTTTTCTGTAGCTTTTTCTCTCCAGCCTCCCAGCGCATTGGGATCCCACAACCACTTAGTGTCCTCTCCCCAACTGTCAGCACAGGCAGCAGGAATCTCGGTGCAGACCTCTCCGGAGCCACATGCGCTCCTCCACTGCAGCCTGTACTGTCAGGGGAAGAATGGCTTCCAGGGGGTCTCCCCAGGTATTGCACAAGGTCCTCCTGGTTTACAGCTTCCAAACGGCTCTCGTGACCCTGGTCAACTAGACTTCTGAGTCTTCAGGCTGAGGCTGTATTCTCATGTTCTCTGAGTCTTTGTTCAGCAGCTGCTCCTCCGCTCACTCTGGACCTTTCTGGTTTTCAACGGCAGGGGCAAGAGAGACCCGTTGTGTGGCGTGTATTCCCAGGGCTTTCTTCAAGTTAGAATGATTCACCCACGTCTGCGGGCAGGCCTCTGCAGCTGGCGCGTGGTGGGCCAATTGAGTTATTGCTTCTCTGTGCTGTAGTAGTTCTCGATCGTGCGGCGGTGGCTGGCCTGAGGTCTGGTGCGCACCAGTGCGCGCTGCCGTGCTGCTTCCTAGGTGTTGGGGGCCTGCCTCCCGGGCGCCTGTGTGGCAGGGTGCTGGCCCTGATCATTGCATTTTGAGGCTCCTGTGGCCTCCTGTCCCATTGCGAGGAGGCAGCAGAGCCAGCCGGGTGCCCAGGCCGGTGTCTGGTGGGGCCTGACCTGTGATGAGAGGGCCCAGCAGGACAGTGCCCCAGTCAGTGGTGTGGTGCTCTGTGCAGAAGAAAAAGCTGGTGCTAAAAACCTGCAGATGCTAAAGTGCACGCCCTGGCTGCAGCTGTCAGCCACCCTTGAGCTCCCTAACTGCGGTCAGAGCCTCTGGGGACCTGTGAGTTCCCTGGGGCCACCCTGCCGACACCCAGAGGCCCACCGGCTCAGAGCAAGTTTGCTCCCACACTTCTGAAGCCGCAGGCCCAGGGTGGTTCCACCAGCTCGGTTGGGGGTGTTGGGCTTGGGCGGGGTTCCTCAGAGGCCTCCGGTGGGGCTGTCCCTGCTCCTGCAGGTCGGGCCCTGGCCCGTGGCCTTGTCATCCCTGCTCTGCCCTGTTGGCTCGTGGCCGTTTCCTCTGCACCTCCCGGCTCTGTCTCTAATCTCCCTGTGCCCTGTGTGCCTGGGGCACCTGCCAGCAGCTCAGGGTACCTTCACGCTCGTGGGCGATCTTACCTCATGATGTGGCAAGGTTCCAGGTGCTAGGATGGGCAGATCTTTTGAGGACCCTCAGCCTACCGCAGGGATCGTGGACCGGAGAAGCTCCTACACCCAGTTCTGTTTCTGCCGCAGCTTTGCCAGCACCTTGATATTAATCTTTTTTTCCTTGGAGACAAAGTCTGTTTGTGGCCCAGGCTGGCCTTGAGTTCCCGGGCTCAAGCCTTTCTCCTGCCTCAGCCTCCTGAGTAGCTGGGATTACAGGTGTGCACTGCGTGCTGGCAGGGTGACTCACTGAGAGTCGGAGCCTGCTAAATAATCGCCCCCGGCCCACTCTGCCCACACTGTTGGATGCCGGGCCTTTCCCTTAGTGCCCGAGGGCTTTCGGAGGTCCTGTCTGCACAGTGTCCTGTGTGGAGGTGTGGCTGATGCTGGCAGGGGGACCGTCTCCCTGCTGGGTCCCGGGAACCGGGGATCTGTTTTTGTTAAACCTGCACAGTACAAGGCAAGGACAAATGGTTGCGTGTGCAACCGACAGATACTTCACAGAAGAGACTGATGCCTGCTGAGAACCAAGGAACCCATGGGGGCTGAGAGGGTGGAAAATGAGGTATCCGAACCACCTACTTTGAAAAATGCAACCAGGACTTGTACAAATAGCCTGACAACTTGGGTTCATAATTTATTTTTGACCCTGTCATAAGCTTGCTTTTTCACAGATGGCCGTTTGCAAAAGTAGCCTAGATCCTGCTGAGTGCCGAGACGGGTTTGGTGATCACTTTTCCCTGGCATGTCAAATTTACTTATAAAAGGCATTAAGAGGTGGATGTGGTGGTGCAACCCCATAATCCCAGCACTAGGGAGGCTGAGGCAGGAGGATTGCTCTGAGTTGGAGGCCAGGCTGGGCTACATAGTGAGTTCGAGGCCAGCCCGAACTATATAGTGAGACCCTGTCTCAAAAACAATAACAAAAACGAAAGGCAGCAGGCTCATGGCCAACTTTTCGTTGCCCCTGGTGAAGCTCAGCCCTTTGCGACCCACAGCCAGTGGGCTGGTGGGGTGGCGGGCAGAGGCATATGCTGCTGTCAGTCCAGGGTGGCTCAGCGTCCTCAGCCTCAGCTCCTCCCTCTTCTGACTCTGCATGTACTTTCAGGGTGAGGGGTTTTCTCGCCGAGTGGGCAGGGCATGAAGTCCCGGTGCACCCTCTTGGCGCGAACGTGGGGTCCCGCCTGTGATGTCCAGTGTGGCCGTGGCCAGGGTCAGCCTGGGCCCTGCTGCAGGGGACAGCTGGTGTGAGGTCTGGCTGTGGTGAAGAGAGAGCAAGTTGAAGCTGGACGCTGACTGTGGATTTTCCCTTTGTGGACGCGGAGGCTGTACGCTGAGGGTGTCAGCACGGGGACTCTGGTCTGCCTGGCAGGGCGGCCCGGGGCGCGGGAACTTGGATGTCTCCAGGGGGCTCTTTTCCTTGGGGATGACCGTGTCTGTCTGAGACAGGGCCTGGGCTGCTGCTCTCCTTCCGGGCCGCCCCTTCCTGTGTCACAGCTGCCCAGGTGTGTGCCCTCAGGCAGCCGCTAAGAGGCTCATCCGAGCGCCCTTGGGTCCCTTTGCCGGCCAGCGCTCTTCTCCTGACTCCTCCGGCTGTGAGGGCTGAGCAGGCCTGCGGGACTCACTGTATCCCCGGCCGACCCTGTGCTGCCTGTTCCCATGAATCCCCCTTCCCGGCTGTGTGGGTGTGGATGTGCTCTACCCACCAAGGCCCGGGGCCCTGTCACCTCGGAAGCCTCTGCCAGGTCTCAGTGCCCAGCCGGCTGAGGGACAGTCCAGTCTCCGACACAGACCTGGCTCAGCCGTATTCTCCCTGCCACTTAAAAAAAAATAAATGGGTAAAACGGGCCACCATAAAAGACTGCTGAGTCCAGGCCTGGTGCCGCCCTTGTGGAAGGAGGTCTTTCTTATGTGCTGCTACCCCAGGGGTCCCTTTGGGTCCTCTCCTTTCACGCGCCTAGTGATGCAGGGGGGGAAGGACCAGCACATAAGGCTCAGCCTCGCTGACCTCCATGCCGGGTGGGGTCACACTTAGGAAATGCACTGGTGAAAGTTGGTGCCAGTGACCCTGGAATAGTCACCTGCTTTCCTGTCCCGGGGAAGGCGCTGTCCTCGGCAGTCTCCTGACAGGTGTGAGGAGAAGTTGCGATGTGCAGTGTTTAGAAACTGGCAGGCGCAGCCTTGTGGGAACAGGGGAGCCACAGGCGCAGTGCCAGGCTTTGCGGGGAGCTGCGCTCCTTGAGGCAGAGAAGGGTGGGAAGGGCCCGTTTAGACTGCTGGGCAGCTGCGGGCCCCCTGCCTCAGCTCTTCCTTTTGTAAAAGGGGACTGGCGGCCCCGCCCCAGCTGCCTGGCTCTGGGTAAATGTTACACATCGCTGACTTGCTGGTGGTTTCTGCGATGACTCACATGCGGTTTCCTTTCTCTACCTCCAGGCGGCGTTGGTCACTTCCTTGTCCAACCTGGCGAGCATGCGCGTGGTCCGCTGGGCTGTCTGGAACCCCCAGCTGGAAGCCAGGGCCGGAAGGGTCACCTTGCCTCTGCAGGGTGGGCCCGGGCCCAGCCCCTCGCTCTGCCTGGTCTATAAGGGGCCCTCGGCCAGCAGGAGCTCTGAGGAGGTAACGCCGCTTCTTACACTCCTGTTCTCCTGGGAGATCCTGGCGAGCCTATTTGCAGAACCGGAAGTGGATGAATGTTTGCAGATGTTTGATGAGCAGAATGTTTTCATGTCATGGATGTGCCCTGGAAAAGGCAAAGAGGATGACCGTGTCCTAGACTGACGTAGACCCTGATAATGACCTTGTTCTCTCTGGTGACCTCTGCGGTAGACCCTGATAATGACCTTGTTCTCCCTGGTGACCTCTGCGGTAGACCCTGATAATGACCTTGTTCTCCCCTGGTGACCTCTGCGGTATGCGCCTGTGGGGTGTGAGGAGCTCGGCCCCCGCCCTGGGCTCGCCTTGGGAGCCTGGGCCAGTGGCCTGGGGCCCCTACCAGGCAGGTGAGCGGTGGGGCGTGAGCCGGCCCTGCGGTCTGGCTGTCAGCCCCCTGCCCCTGGCTTGTCTGTGTGACCTGTCGGTCACCTCTAGGGCCTTTGCTCTGTCAGCTGTACAGACGCAGGTCCACGGCAGAAATCCCCAGGATTTGAAGAACGTATTCTGAAGCGAATATTCCCGAACTCGCATCTGGAATGCAGCATAGGGCAGGATGAGGTGTGTGCAGGGACCTTGTCTCCAGGCTGCCCCTGCCCGGGGGTGGCCTCGGAGGGTCATTCGCAGACGACCGAGGCCCCATGCCCTGGTGCATGCGGGGTCCATCCTGGCGCTCTGAGTTGTAGCTGGCCCCTGCAGTCACAGACCTGTGTCAGCAGAGCGGAGGGGCCTTTTAGCGCTTGGTTGTCTCGTTTTTCCGGGGAGAGGGGCCGTACCTGCTATTCCGGCGTGTCACTTCTGTGCTGACTCCAGCAGCAGACATTATTTTCAGTGTTGTTATTTACGATTCGGATGGTGCTTTGGGGACCTGAGTAAGGGAACAGCTGATGGTGCAGCTTTTCTTGTAAGGAGTTTCTCATTACCGGACCATATTTTGCTGCAGTCCCACATGGTCTAGCTGGAGCCCTTATTATAAAATTGCCACCGGAAATCCTGAGGCCATTGCCGTTCTGCCTGCCCCCTTCCTGTGCGTGCGTGTGTGTGTGTGTTTGTGTACGTACTTGTGTACATGTGTGTATTTATTCTGTTTTCTTCTTGGCTGCATGCCGCTCCCTGCCTTCATTCGTAAGTGTCCACACTGTGCGGCACGAGTGCTGGAAGGTGTGCCTGTGCCCGGGACACCAGCGTACCCAAGACTGCTGTTTGCCCTGAGCAGCACCACGCCTGTGCCACCGTCTCTCGGCTCTGTTCTGCTCACCTTTGGGCAGCGCTCCTTGCCAGGGCTGCCTTGTGCTCTGAGATGTCCTGCAGCAGCCCTGGTTTCTGTCATCTGGTGCCAGGGACATTCCCAGTTGTGACAGTCCACAGTGTGTATAGACATTGCCTGGTGTCTCTTGGGGGGCAAAGTGCCCCTGGTAGAGGGCCAGTGGCCTAAACTGACAGAATTGACAAAGCCAGTGGACGACACTGGTGTCCTGGCGTCGATGGGCTCCTGCTCGGTGAAGCTTGGCCTCTGCATGTTTCCTGGTCAGGGCAGGTGTGTTGGGAACCTGGGTGTCCTCGTCTCTGCCCGGCCAGCTGACCCAGGACCCATCTGGTCCTGTATTCATTCATGACCTTTCATCAAGCACCTGCATGTTCCCAGGTGTCCTGGAATTAACAGGTGAGCAGGAGTGGCAGAGATTAGACAAGGAAAAGCACAAGTGCTGTAATTGTCCCACAGTCTTTGGCTAAGGAGATTTTAGGGTTTATGTTGTTAATGATTATTTTACTGTTATGTACTGGAAAGCAAAGTAACACATCATGATTGTGTTTTCTTCTTAGATAACTCCTGTCTCTTTCCCCTAAGCAAATAATTGATTTGTAAAAAATATTTGTGTTTCCAGAAGCTGCTGCTTTCAGTTCTTTGCTGTGACTTAGGATATTTACCTTTGTTTTCCAGATAATATGCTTTTATTGCGATGTCGTAGTTAATCAATTTTGGGCATTACACGCTGACTTTGCATTGTGATAGATGAGGCCCCTGGGTCTTTCACACACTCCTGTCTCTTCACACTGCATCTCCTTGCTGCTTGGCCTTGATTTGGCTCAGGAAGCGGCTGTGTGGCAGGGCTGGCTGGAGAGTCCAGAGGCCCCCAGGAACAGAGACAACTCACGGAGGAGCTCGGGAGCGGCCTGCAGCGGTTGACAGAAGCCTGGGCTCTTCCTCAGCTGTAGATGTGTGGATGTGACCCCGAAGGGCAGCCCAAGGGGTTTGAGAGCTGAACCATGGGCGGATACTGTCTGTCCCAGAGCCGCCTTCGGGAGGAGCGCTTGCAGGAGGGCCCTGCAGGGCCCTGCACAGGCTTTGGGGAGGGCACTGGCATGGGAACCGAAGCTCGCAGGAGGCTGCTCAGAAGCTGCAGCCCAAACCCCCACCAGGCTGAGCTCTGCTTAGCAAAACTAGCAACCGTCTTTCCTCATGGGATTTAAATCAGCCTCAGCATCTCATAATGTAACATCCAAAGTGTTCATAATGCCATCTAAAATTAACTGGCGTGCAGAGAGCCTGGAAAATCTCCACTTGTACAGAAAGGACATGTAACGTATAACATCACTGAGATGACACAAGTGTTGGAATTACCGGACAAAGACTTCAAGCAGCTGTTGTAAAAATGCTCTAGTAAGTCAGTAAGAGCATCCTGGAAACACTCTTGAGATAAACGGAAAGGTGGGAAGTCTTAATAAAGTAGCAGAAAATACAAAAAAGACTGGAGTCGAAAGCTTAGAACTGAAAATGAAGTAACCAAAATTAAAGCTTCCCTGCACAGGGTCCACAGGATGCTGACGGCAGAGCACCGGTGCACCTGAAGGTAAGTCAGTAGCACTGATCCCACCGGAACAATAAAGGAGACTGAGTGGAAGACAGTGGGCAGAGTGCCCGGGCGCAGGACCAAAAGACTGACCCTGCGTCCACAGCATCCAGTAGAAGATGAGGCGTACAGCGTGGAGCAGAATATATGAGGAAGTAACCGTTGAGAACATCCCTTGTTTGGCAAAATTCCTAAACCTACAGATCCAAGAAGTTGAGTGAACCCGAGAGAGAAGTGAGGAGATCACACCCAGACGTGCCATAAACTGCCGGGAACTAGATAGTGAAGGTAATCGTGAAAGCGGCTGTGCAGAAATGGTGCATCACTCACAGAGAATGGGTCACTCCAGTGACGGTGGAGTCTTCTGTCAGAAACCACGGAGCCTGGAAGGACATAAAAGGACAGCTGAACAGCGCACGCGGTAGGACCTGGAACCCAGTGTCGTGTCCCCAGCGAGACTCATGGAGGGGCAAGGATGACGTAAGGACCTCTGCAGGTGGGTGAGAACTGAGAGAGTTCATCCATGGAGGCGTCTTCTAAAGGAACAGCTGAAGGGATTTCTCCAGACAGAAGGGAGGGGCACCAGCTGGAAACAGGGAGCATCAGAAATGATGAGGAGAGAGAACATTCTTTCGTTCTGGAGTCCTTTTTCTTTGTTCTGGTTTTTGAGAGAGGGCCTCACTATGCAGTCCAGGCTGGCCACAGACTCACTGTGTAGCCCAGGCTGGCCTTGAACTCATGGCAGTCCTCCTGTCTCAACCTCCTGTATGCTGGGATTATAGGTGTGTGTCACCATGCCTGGCAGGAATCTATATTTAAAACTTAGAGCAGTCACTAAAATAAGAAATGAAGAGATAAAGGCCAAACAGATAAAATGAGGTAATTGAAAAGAAGACAGAAGGGAAAATGGGACAAAAAACCAGGAGTAGTAACGAAATGGTGGTCCTGAATCCACATGTCCTAATAATTACCTTAAATGTCAGTTGTCTAAACATTCTCTGTGAAGCCTGAGATCATCAGACTGAACGAAAAAGACGCTTTCTGTTTTAAATATAACCATATAGCTTGGTGGCACATATCTGTAATCTCAGTACTCAAGAGGCTGAGGCAGGAGGAGTGCCTCAAGTCTGAGGCCATCCTGGGGTACCTAGTAAGTTCAGAGCCAGCCTGAACTACATAGCAAGATGCTGTCTCAAACAAACAAACAAACAAACATAAATATAACGATGTAGGTTAAAAGTGAAAGAATGGAAAACACTCTACATAAGCAGAGACCTGGAGGGGCTGTGTGAATATCATGCAGAGTAGATTTTGGAGCCAAGGAAGTTTCAAGAAACCGAGAGAGACATCATATCTGATGAAATATGCAGTCACCAAGAAGACATCACGATCCTAAAAGTGTTTGCTTCTGACAGAGGGCTTCAGAATACACGGAGCAAACCTGATAGAACTGAACAGAGATACAGACAAATCCACGATTGCAGCTGGAGACTTTGCCTCTCCTCTCTAAGAGGACAGAAACCTCGAGGGGCATAGAAAAAGTGGAAGGCGTCTTCCTCCAACTGCATCTGGTTGTCATTCGCCAGCACTCTACCCAGGGGCAGCAAAGTGGGCTTTCCAAGTGCATGAGGAGCGGTCCCCAGGATAGACCACATCCTGGTCATAAAACACAGTGACAGATTCACAAGAATTGAAACTATGCAGGATACAATCTCTGGTCAGAGTGGAATTAAACTAAAAATCATTAACAACAAAGATATAAAAATTACCAAACATCCAATGCTTGGGAGGCTGAGGCAGGAGGATTGCCTTGTGTTTGAGGCCATCCTGGGCTACAGAGTGAGCTCAAGGCTACCCTGAACTACATAGTGAGACCTGGTTTCAAAAAACGAAAGAGAACAACAACAGCAAAAACAAACAGAAAATTAACAAGCAATACATTTCTAAATAATCCGTAAGTCTAAGAGGAAACCTTAAGAGAAACAGGAGATACTTTGATCTGAACAGAAATGGGGACACAGCCTAGCAAAATGTGTAAGGTGCAGCTCAATCATGCTTGGATAGAAATTGTGGTGCTAAGTCCTTATATTGGAACAAAAAACTTCAATCAATATAATCTTCTGCCTTTAGAAACTAGAAAAGCAAAATAAACCTAAAGCTAGAAGAGTCAATAGTGGAGAGCAGAAACCACTGAAATTAAAGGCAGAAACACAATGGATTAAAAACGTAGAAAAAAATGAAGCAGAAACCTGGATTCTTTGAAATTGATGAGCTTTTAAAGAAGATGGTAAGGAAAAAACAACACAAATCTCAGGACGAGGCGCAAAACCAGAGCGAGCCCAGTAGCCCACACGAGGAAGCCACAGCACCTACCTGTGCGCCCGGGAGCAGCAGGGAGTTCCTGTCGTCCATCAACGGCCAGATTTTGCTCCAACCAAGCAGACGACCCGAGTCATCCTGTCACCATTATACAAACGTAATTCACTGTATAACACCTCTCACGGAAGTAAATATGCAGGCCTGTGCATCTTGCGTTCTCCTAGACGTTTAAAGGAGAAATGCCATCTGTTTTATGCAGTTTTCTCTAGAAAACAGAAGAGGTGGGAGGCGTCCCCGGTTCATCATCGCGGCTGACATCACCTTGTCAAAACCTGCGCATGCCAAGAAGGCAAAACTGGGGCCCCTTGCTCTCGTCGACAGAGGCAGAGTGCTTGCACAGGGCCTTTGCAAGTTGAGTCCCACGGCGTGTAAAATGCGTAACACAAGGAGTGGTGGGCCCCAGCACAGAGAGCAGTCCGTTTTCTGTTTGGAAGTCCACAGAGGTCCCTCACCCTCGTCACAGCCAAATCCACATGCTCGGAGCCGCTGCCGCAGAGAAAGCCTCCGACAAAATTCACCATCATCTGTGAGAACTCTGAGCAAAATGAACTCGGGAAGCAGGTGTCTGGGATCTGCACTGAGCGCTGTAAAGCCTTCCTCTTCCGATGCTACGACCCTCATTGTGGTTCCGCGGAGGTGAGGTCAGAGACCGGGATACCGGGAGATGTGACGTCTTTCTGGATCAGGAGACTCCGCAACGCAGCGCAGTCGGCTCTCCCCAGAACTCACCTGTAGATTTCATGCAATTTCAGGCGAAGTCCCGCAGGACTTTTCTGTTGAGATATGACAGGCTGATTGTGAAATACAGACGGCAGGGCAGAGGGGTCGGGAGAGTGGAGACAGCTTTGAGAAAGGACGGTGAGGTCGGAGGAATCGGACTACACAGTAGGAAGACCTGGAAAGCTGCCTTAGTGTAGCACGCTCCTGGGGAGGAGATTGGCGGAGATCAATGAAATAGTTCCAGAGTAAATCACAGTGTGCACATTTCTTATAAAATTAAATTACATAAACCATGCTACCTAGAAGTCTAATCTTAGAGAAATGAGACTTGGGTTCACTCAAGAATCTTTGTGCCCAGTTTGCTGTAGCTGTGTTTATAGTTACTGACCTGGAAAGAACCGCGCTGCTCCTAATGGGTGATATACAGGAACCAGGGCTATACCCACACAGTGGAGTACTATTCAGCAATGAAAAGGAGTGGGCTGTTGATATGTGTGCAGCACCTTGGAGGACTCTCCTCAGCATCATGTTGAATGAAAGAGCCAGTCTCAAAAGTCATATGGTGCAGCTGGGGTGCGGTGGTGCATGCCTATAATTCCAGCCCCTCATGAGGCTGACGCAAGAGGATTTCAAGTTCCAGCCCAGCCTAGGCAGCTTTAGGAGAGAGCCTGTCTCAAAACAAAATTTTTAAAAAGGCCAGGGAGTGTAGCTCAGTGGTAGGGCACTTGCCTAACCTGTGCCAGGCCCTGGGTTCCATCCCCAGATCAAAAAGAGTTCTGTGTTTATAAGCCTTACGGTTTTATTTGCATGACACTCTCACCAAGACCAGACCGTGGTGCTGGAGAAGCCAGTGGCGACTGCAGGGCTTGTGACGTGGGTGGGCATGGGTGTAGCCACCGAGGGCCCTGGCTTAAGAATCCCGACCGGTGCTGGGGGCCTGCGTTTGTGTTGGTGTTAAAACCTGTAGAACTACTCGCATAATTAAAAGTTAGCTTCATGTGTTAATTAAGAAGCTAGACACATCGGGACTTATTAAACAGATTTAAAATCTATTTCTACTCAGGAAAATTCCATTCTGGAATATCCAATATGATCTTCTGGGATTTTAATGCCACAACGGGTCGTTTTTATCCTGGATCAATAATCTCATACTCGCCGATCATCTAGAAAGCCTGGCCTCGCCTGGCTGCTCTGTCGGCTCTGGGGAGTCCACCGGCAGAGGTTGAGGCAGGGCGGCCTCACGGTTCCCTTGGCTCTGTTGCAGGTGAAGCAGGTGGAGGCGGGGACGGTGCAGTTCAGGTTCTCACTGAGCCCCGAGGACACGGCTGCGACGCACACCCAGGAGCCCCGGTCTGAGCGGCGGCCGTGCAGGAGGCCCCCCACACCCCCCGCAGGTGAGTGGTCCCCGCGGCTCGGGCTGGGTTCCAGAGCACATGGTGTGGCCAGCGCTGTATCGCCACATTGACAGGTAGTGGCCGCAGATGGCCTTCATTCCAGTCTGTCCGTTGGCTTTTGCTGTAAGAACTGGACAGTGTGATAAAACCTGGCCTGGCATTGTGTCCCGCACGTGGGCGTCCTGCAGACCCTGCCTGAGAGCTGGCTTGGTGAAGGCCGCGATGCCAGCTTGGGTGTGCACTGTCGGCGAAGCGTCTCTGGCTCACCTGGAAGCAGGGTGCGTGACTTGGGGACCTGGGGTCTGAGTGTGGCTTTACGGAGAGTCAGGATGGGGTGTGGGCAGAGGGACTGCGCTGGTGCCCAGGGTGGAGACGATGTGCAGGTGTGCGGGTGCAGAGCGGTGAGGCTGGCCGTGCCCTGGGCTCAGGAACCCGAGCCTGCATGGGGCCCCCGTGGTGATGGAGCGGAGGGAAGGGGCGGCCCGGGAGCCTACCTGCGCGGGCTGCACCCCGGGCCTGGGCCTGAGGGCCCTCCCTGCGGAAGGAGGCGCTGGCCTGGACAGGGGCCGCCCTGGCCTTCCCGCTGGGTCCAGGTGAGCACATAGGGAGGCGCAGCGGCTCAGCTTCGGCGCCGGGTCTGGGCAGGATGAGCCCTTGTTTCTTGGCTGTGGCTCACGAGTCCTGGCACAGAGGTGCCCGGGATTCTGTGATTCTCTTCAGGGGTTGAGACTGTAGTTTGTGGAAATTGGTCTGATTGAGTTGAACGTTCTGAGGGCCTGGAGCTTGTGCTGTACTGACCTCTATTTTTACAATTGGGGGTTTTCCAAGCTCGCTGGGAATATTCAGGTCCCTAAACTTAAGTTGATTGCTTTGGGACAGACCACATCGTAGTCTGTTCCTTCCTTTCGTAGAAGTGGGGGCTCTGGAGGCTTTAACGGTTTTGTTTTTCTGGTTCTTGAACTTCACGCGTAGCGGATTGTCCTCCGCATTCTGTTCTCCCTAGGCATCCCGTGGGTGAGGGGGCTCCAGTGTGGCTGCCTTGCCCTGAGGTGCGGCCGGATTGACTGTGGGAGCCGCTCGCGTGGGTGGCGGGCACCTTCCCGCCGGAGTCATTTCAGATACAGTGTAAACGCCGTCAACATCCTTGTGTGCTGGTTCCCGTGTCTTTGCCGACTCTGGTCCTGTTTTTAAGTTTTGTTTTTAATCCACACATAATAATGCTCCGTGTCTGTGGGGTTGCGGGGGAGCTGCACAGGTGTACCTCAGGTACCTGGCATCCGGGAGGTCAGCGTGCCCAGACTCCAGTGTTGCCCTCTCTTTGTGGCAAGGACATCCAGCGCCCTGACTTCATCTTCTAGTGTGCCGTTGTTGGCTGTGGTCCCCGCTGTGTGTCAGCGCCCAGAACTTAGTGCTGCCCTGCCTCCGCCTGGCCCCGAGGCAGCCCTCCGCGTAGTCCAGGGGCTTCAGGACTTTTCTGGCTTTCACTGTGTTTTCTAGAAGCTGTTTCCCCCACGCACTGCACTTTCTTTTGAGATTTATTTTTAAAATTAAAAGCAGTTCCTAGTCAAAGATTGCCAAGTCACTCCTGAAGGAGGAAGGCTTTGTCTTTCTTGATTTGCAGTCCGCACCATGAAGTCGCAGTGATGAGAATGCCGTGGAACGGACGCAGACAGAGGTTGGTACTTGGCTAGGAAACAAAGCGGGGTCGGGGAGCAGGCCCAGGAAGGCGAGGGGAATTTCCCACTGCTGCACTGAGAGAGCTCCTCTACCTCAGTGACCTCGGACAGTGCCACCTCATTTTCTGATGGCCCCGAAGACAGAAGCCCAACGTGGCTCTCAGAGGCTGGACTCCAGGGGTCCCCAGGGCTGCGTTCCTTGCGGGGGGAATCTGCCTCCTGGCTTCTCCATGCCTCCCTGGCTTCCCCTTTCCCTGCGGGGCTGTTGTGTTGGACTGACCCACAGCCGGTGTGATGTCCCCGTTGGAAGCCAGTGCCACGGAAGCCTGGTGTCCCGTGGGGTGTAGGTCCCCAGTTAATGCCAACGGGTTCTGGGGACTGGGGTGGGGGCCGTCACTGCTGCCACAAGGCAGGACCGATTGTGTGTAAGGAAGATAGGAAATTCAGTCCTAATTTCATAGCAGGCAGAGAGTAAATTCCAGGTGCATTTAAAAAACCCCAAACTTTACAAATTTTAAACTTGGATTGGAAAGAAGAAGGATTATAGAAAAAGTCTTCAAATCAGTACGAGGCAGGTGAGGAAGGAACGAGACTGAACGTAGGATAGGAAGGGAAAATTCGCAGAGTGTGAACCGGAGTAAGGAGTGAACGTGGGAAAATGTGCTCCGTTTCAGTAGTGACTGGGAAGAAGCAAACTAAGCGAGAAACCTGGTCCCTCTCCCTCCCACACCCAGCTGTCCGGTGGTGCAGAGACAAGCGGGGTGCAGGTGTGTGTGTGTGTGTGTGTGTGTGTGTGTGTGTGTGTTCAACTCGTACTGCAGCCTGGAGTGTGTGTCCAGGCACTGCTAGAATGAGCGCTTCATCTCTGCTCGGGGACACACCCGGCGCTGCTCATGGAAGCTTCGTGGTCAGGGGTTCAGAGCATCTCCCTGCTCCCAGGAGAGGATAAATAGGCTGATTTATGAGCCAGATATGGTGGGACACAGCTGTAATCCCAGCACTCTGGGAGGCTGAAGCAGGAAGATTCCAAACTTGAGCTCAGCCTGGGCGATGTAATGAGACCCCGTCTTGAAATGGAAAAGGGCACTAATAAAAAAGGGCTGAGGAGAGAGGACAGTGTGAAGGCCCTGGGCTCAGTTCCCAGTGCTCCAAAACAAAAAGCTGACTTGTTCAGACAGTGGGACACCGTGCACCAGTTAAACGGAAGGAATGGATCTGCGCACAGCAGATCAGTAGGGAGGGGTCTTCAGGACGGGGCGTCCGGTGTAAACGGGCTCTGAAAGGGGGTGCACGCGTGGGGGGCTCCGAGTAACCTCCGAGCCGCCCGAATGGCCTGTGAGTACAGGTCTCACCCACCAACTGCAGGGCTCTCACTCACGTCTGTGACCCTCAGTTTCCTCATCCGAGAAGTGGGCGGTGAGAGAGCTGGTGCGAAGAGCAAAGGTTGAGAAAGTTGAAGAATACTTTTATGGAATTGGAGAGTATTTTTACAATCTAGGGGCTGGGGGGTGCTTTCTTGAGCAGAATGGACGAAGCATAAACAAAAAAACAATACACAACTGAGAAATACAGTGATGTTAACATATAGGCAAGCATGAGGTCACAAGTTCGATTCCCAGTATCAAATATATATCTGTGTAAAACTTCCATAGGAGAGAAGAGTCTATAAGGAGAGAAGACCTGAGACCAGAAGGCACTGGCAAAAGACGTAAGCAAAATTATTTGAAAGAGTCAGGTTAGAAAGAAAAATGGTGGAAAGGGCTCCTCGAAGTCAGTGAGAAGGAAAAGCAGAACAGCGAGTGGGCCAGGCCGTGGCAGGCTGGGGGGCCCTCGGGAAAGGGGTGTTGGCGCCCAGGACTGCTGGCTCAGGCAGAGGCCCGGCCACAATGATGTCCCCCGTGGCATGGTGGGGCAGCCACGCGTGCATGGGGCCGGGCAGGGCGGAACCTCTGCGCCATCTCAGCGTCACCAGAACCTACATAACTGCACAAAGAGTAAAGTCGACCGCATTTCCTTGACCATAAGCCCCAGCTGGTTGTTACCATGGTGACAGCCAGTGTCCTGTAGTGGATTATAGGGCACTATTCTCCTGCTCGGGGGCTACTCTGTAAGACAGGTAAGGCAAGGATAGGTCGATTGGGGCTTGCATTGTTGACCTCTAGTCTTCAAGGCTGTTAGGTCTCATTTTCAGGAACCAAAGATAGAGGTGGAGAGATGGAGAATGACATGTGGGAGCTCTACTGCTACGCCCGTCACTCTTGGTTTCAGGATTTCTGTTTGCAGTTGAGGTACAGAGACCAGCAGCGTTTTCCTCTCAAGGCCAAATCGTGTTTTAGGCTTCACGGGCCCGGCGATCTCCGTCGTAGGTGCTTGCCTCAGCTGGTGTGTCTGGAAGCCATAGGATGATAGGAACAGGAGTGAACCTGGCTGTGTCCCAATAAAACTTTATTGACACACCGCATTTGATCTCGGGCCGTGGCCCGCAGATCCCTGCCCCACAGTTTTCTCTTCCTGTTGTCTTTCTCAGGAGGTGGCCTCCCGTCCCCTGGGCTCTGACACGGTCCGGATGGAGGATGGGCCCTGTGTCCTGCAGGCTGAGGAAGGCTGGCCAGATCCGGCTGCCTTTTGAAGGGAGTTTTTGGCAACCATTTAATTTCTTCTTAGGCTTTTGGTCTGTTTACGCTTTCCCCTCATCTTATGTTCCTCTCGGAATAATAATCCCAGCGAGAAAGCGGCCAGCTTCCTCTTGTTTCCAGTGTGGCGAGGAGGTGGCGTCCAGTCCTGCGCGGGCCTCGTGCCTGTGAGCAGCTTGCGTTGCGGCGTCGCCCTGAGCGCTGAGCCCCTTCCTGCCGGGGCGGGCTGAACCCAGCCGACCGCGTCAGCCGCCTAATCCTGAGCAGCAGCTCTCCGATCACTTCTGGGTCTGTTCTTTACATCCCAGATCTTATCTTTATTTCTAGTTAACTTCAACCTTATGTGCTTCTGTGTTTAATTCCATCCTCTCAGTTTCTTCAAAGTTTAAAAAGTTGAATTCTTAACTTATTTTCCTTTTACTCAATGATAAAGCATTTCAGGTTTTGCCGTTCTTCTGTAAGTGCAGCTTCAACCCTGCTTCGTAGAGTTTCACTGATGGTGTTGTTATTTCCTAAATTACTGATTCCAATTTGTGTTTCTCCTTTTTTTTTTGATGGTGCTAGGGATCAAGGTCAGCATGCTGTCTACTGTAGAACTACACCCCAGCCCTGAATGTCCTTTTTACTTAGAATTTGGCAGTGTTTTTACATAGGCCTACTTAACACAATGTATATATCTGTTGGAAGTTTC